ATATTGTTCCTTAATTGACATGATATGAAACATTTTCACCCAGCGGAAAAATTTTACCACGTGCTTGAAATCGATTGTACATATATTATATATATGACATATGTATATGAAATATATTAAATAGCATTTTAAGTCCATAGACGCATTTTTCTTATTTATTGGTAGGGAGTAATTATGGTAATATTGTACTTAGCTGATTGTCACCGTAGCCATGGTAACACAGCTAGAGTTTTCAATCTATATGACAGGTTTTGTAATTGATTTTCTGCAAAGTCCATATTTCTAATAGGGTTTTTTTCTATCCTCTAATTACAAATAATTAAAATAAGTGGTATATTTCCTTAATGTTCCCTAACATGTCATGATACTATGGTACTCAGGAAAAAATTAATCTTTTCGGAGAGTGTTATACTGTTATTATTATAGATAATAGTTATCACTGTTTAAATTATGCAAACGTAGGATGGAAAAGTATCCAAAAATATATTTGTTAAAGCACCATAGAACAAAATGAAGGAAAATAATAAATAAAGTGATAAAAGTCAATTTAGACTAAAATAAAAATGCAGTACACTAGTGTTTCATTATGCATATATGTGGTCATGGGATTTTTTTTCCCACAATTATCTAAACAATTTTCCCAAAGAAAGTCAACTATTTCAACTTGGTTTGTAGGTTTTATATATGATTTAAATAAACAAACCACATCCAACCTATACTTTTTCATATAAAATCTGCATATTTGAACTAAGCTAGAGCAAGGTTCACATATGGTCTTATTTGTCCTTGTAAAATGAAAAAATAGGACTGTTCAGTATTACAAAGTAATGCCAAAGACATCAAATAGAGCCATAATGAATATGTATCTACTTATTAAAGTAACATAATTTTCATGCTACTCTCTGCATTATGACATGATGAAGTGTGACGTCCCAATTTCCTGATTTTTTTTTTTCACAAATTATTTTCGGTACATGTATACCAAATTTTAAAGTAACAAGTATATAATATATGTTTTTGTAAAACTGTCATGGGTAATACTTAAAGCTGAACACGCTTCGTAAAAAGAATCTGTCCGCCATATTCAATATTGGACTCGCGCTATATCTGAGGGCCCCTATATATAGAGCCGCTCACTTGGTCACTGTTCAGTGTAATCAATCGTCACCGGTGTAGACGGACGTATGCTATATAGCACTTGGTAGCGACAAAAATAACTGTAATACTTCTTCTAATGCAGGAAAGTAAGATACCAAAGAGATCTACAACAGTTGCACAGGTCAGTGCAGTATACAAACACAAATATATGTAACTGCAATAAAATGTAAACAAACGTAATGCAAGATAACCATCACGAACACGGGTCGCCATTCCACGCCGATACCCGTGACAATAAAGCAGTCAGGTGTAACGAATGCGAAGAGTATACCCTAGTGCTGATATCTTAGATAGTATTATCGAAAATGGCGTATGCCTATTTACGAGTCATGTTCAGCTTTAACATATTATTCTTTTGATCAAGTGCTTTTAAAGTAAAACTTGAGTTCCTTTTCAAGTATTACCCCAACTTACAAGTTGAGTGTTCTCTAGCTAATATGACAGTTTCCATAAAATACTTCACAAGCAATGTTCTCCAATAGGCCAACAATGACATGATTTTGTTTGATGTACCCCTTTTAATCTTTTTTTAGTACTTTAATTTCTCTCTCTCTCTCTCTCTCTCTCTCTCTCTCTCTCTCTCTATATTGGTTTCTGGGGAAAAAAAGATTGTCTGTATCATTTTTAAGTTAGGTTTATCATTTTCCAAAGATACATTTTTTAGATTTAAAGTATCATATCTGCATCTGTGGAAGTCTACCACTTTTTTACTCCATCTCCTGCCTAGCGCTTTTCTACAAAGTCTGTTTTTGGTTTGCTTGGGTAGCCATTCGGTCATAAAATCTTATTGAATTTTAAAGATCTTGCGTGATTTGAACTGGGAGCATACAAACCACAGGCACTTGTTTCGTATACAGGGCACCCCCTACTTATTTTTACCAAAAGGTACCTAATTCAGTTTCAGACACCCCCACTTCAAGCTCGTATTTTATTAATATATCAATCATTAATCTACTTTAAAATGTCATCCTTCGCTTTGAGAGACTTTTTTCTTGTCAAATAAATCGTTTCAGACGTCTCTGGTCGAGCCTTTTTATTGTAAACCACTCATTTATTCCTTGAAAATTACGTCCATACATATTAAGACTTTAGATGGGATACGAAACTTCCAGTTGGGGTTGTAAATGTGGGATAAAACCAGAGACTTGAGTATTCCATTCCAAGGTCTCTGGTTATGCATATATATGATTAAGCAATGAATCATTTTTTTTGAAAGATATAGTCTCATAACTGCAATGGTGTGTGCAAACAAATGAGTAACGCACGTTAGCGTGTTATGAAAATTTGTTTGCACACACCGTTGCAGTTATGAGACTATATCTTTCATTGCTTATATTTACATTTTTTAACTCCTTGCCTTGACTGCAAATGTGATTCATTTTTCAAAATCCCTGTATTATCCTTTGGGTAAGTTACAATTAATGGAAGAGCCAATGCAACAGCTTCTGTTCAATGTGAGCGTTATTTTTGATTTTCGCTTATGATGTTGCACTTCCACAGAGTTCAACGTTTGTGACATCAAAATAAAATGCATGCTTTAACCTTTTCGTGTTATGGTGTATTGAATGCCGTAGATATCCACATATTTTATAAGCAAAATACTTGTGAAATGTAAACATTATATAATATATTATATGATATATTATTTGTTGTAAAATCTTCATTTACAGTTTAGAGTAATTTTTTAAGTAAATTTATTAAATTTACAGGGTTGTCCCTAAGACCCGGGGGTCGTGGATTTTCCCTGCCTATAATGAAATAATCCCCCGGTTATTTTGGCATTCCTCCTAAACTCCCCATTAGGGGAGAACTCAGAACCCCCAGATCCCCTTCTACTTTTTAAATGTCCCCTTCTAATTCAATTCTTAGGGACAACCCTGAATTTATATTTAATTACACATATTTCTGTAGTACTCTAACAGACTTGGAATATTATAGTCTGATTAAGTGATGGTAGTTATAATGGCTCTACAAGCCACTTTAGAAGAAGCCCCTTCTTCCTTGTCATCTGTATATCTGTATGGTTCCCACAATAAGTTCGCAGATAGAAGTAACCTCACCCTCCTCAGGCTTTAAGAGTAGACTGAGTCATTTTTGAGTGGATAAATTAGTTAGAAGTACTACAGAATTAAATGACCTATGTTGTTTCCATGAAATTTAGAAGGAGAGTATCTTTATAAGTTGGAGAATTGAGAGTCTGGTTAATAAACCTAGAAGTAGGAAGTATATGCAAGGAAACTGTATGGGAATTTTTATTGTGAATTTTCACAAGGGCCTAATTTGTAAATATTTCTCATCAAGTTCCTGTTCTTTTTCTTGACTTAGCTTTGCTTATTCTGCACCCATATATTATTATCCTTTGGTAAATGGTGTGGACTGAAGTTAAGGGAAGGTCAAGTCAGGGTAACTACAGTCAAACCTCGTTATCTCAAACTCAATGGAACCAAGAAAAAACTTTGAGATATCTGAGGATTCGAGATATCCAGGGTAAAATACTTAAAGAATAAGGGGTTGGGATTTCCATATCAGTTCGACATATCCATGGTATTTGAGATATCAGTGTTCGAGCTACCCAAGTTCAACTGTATTTTAATTCAATATCATGGGGAGATCCTGACTTTTTTGTTACAGTCATCTTCTGTTCTAGTATTCAAAGATAAGAATTGTGCTGCGACCTAATATCATTTCATATAACGTAGGTGAAGATCAAAACAGTTTTTTTCTAGACTAAATATTTTTAAATAATCCACTTCAATGAAGTTGAGAAGAGCTTGTTCTATACCCCCTCCTCCCCCCAACAGCAAGTCCCTTAAAGTTTTTAAGCCAAGTGACAGACTTCAGACCTAGCCTGGACTAATCTTGCATGACTAACGTATCTACATGTACATGTATAGTGATCTCTCTTGTGAGACTTTTTATTGTGCTGCATTTCAACTTAAGTTTTAGAAGATCATATGAAGAGTTTAGAGTAGTTTCATTTTCAAGTAATAACAGAATGTACTAGGATGCAGAAGATATAAAGTTTCGTAGGATACACACTTCCAAACTGGCTGTAAATTCAAACTTACCGATATACCCTTTGTGTATGTGTTTGTAAAATTCATACATGAATATGTTCTTTAGTGCATATTGCATAATTCTGCTCAAAGAGCTATTTCTTTAATAATTGATGCTAAATACAGATACTGGAATAGTAAATTGTCCTACAACTTCAAAGTTAGAAGGTAAAATATTGACAACATTAATATTTCATAATTTATTTTGCACTTGTTAAACTTAAGTTTTTTGTTTCTTTTTGGTCATCTAATGATAAAGTAATTAGTTTTGATCAACTTTTGACAGTATCGCTTTGTTCCACTTTGAATGCTAGAGAATTTTTATTTGCATAAAACGTGATGTGCTGCTTCCTATTATGGCAATTTTGTTTTCTTGGTAATTTAAAGCTGCCATTCACCTACCCATTTCCTTAATGTCGATGATTTATAAATATTTCATGCCCCTGTGATAACAGGTTTACAGGTAGTCAGAGAGAGAGAGGGAGAAAGAGCCATGTATCTTTTCTATTCTGATCATCAAATGCTCACTCATTGATTAGACTTTGATCTTGTGATCAATATTAAATGTGACAGCAGACTTCTCGGAGGGATTGTTGTGGATAACACAACCTCACATGCTAGATTAATTTCTATGGTGAACCAATGAACATTCCACATTGATGGTGAAACAAATATATTGGAATGTGATGGTTGATTTGTTGAAATGAGGCAAAAAAAAAAATTATTATGAAATTGTGAATGGACTTCAATTTTGAACTTTGATTTGTGAAATTTCCGGAATTTTTCTGTTTTTAAACATGTGGGCAGCTGATGGTGTGAGATTTAATGAATTGGAGAGGAAACCATTTTGTTAAATGTAGTGATTTTTTTAATTATTAGAATGAATTTGTAACTCTAATCAGGAAGTGTACTTGTGTATGCCCAATTTCTGGAATTCAATTTGTGGACTTGAGAAATCTCTACCCGGATGCTTCTAGACATACATGTATATTAAAAGTGTACGTCATATGCTAAAGCAGGCAGTTTGATTGCAGATTGCAGTGAAATGTCGCTAAAGGCAGTCAATAATTTTCACACACTTAAGTGACAAAATTGAATGGATCAGATTTTCAATGCTGCTTTATTAAACAATGAAAAATATTGCATGAATCAATTTTGCTGCATATTATGAACTGTTTGAACATTTACTGTGAAAGATTGAGGGCACGTATTAAGAAAGCCAGGTAGTCAACTGTATTACATGTGTGTTGTGGCTTCATGTTTAATCATTTTTCAGATATTAACTTCCACTTTATATTTTCACCTTTATTTCTTATGAAAACCAATCAGTGGCAGATCCAGCACTGGCATACCAGTGCCCCCCCCCCCCCCCCTTTGAGTTTTTCTTTTTTGGTTTGTTTTGTACATTTTGTTTGTTTAACTTGACTATACTCTCGATCAATGTAGTCCCAACATTCATGCACATATATCAGGGTAGATTCGAAAGAAATTTCTAGTCAAAAAAGTCTGAATCTATACTACAAGATGTTGCAAACAACAAGATGTTGCAAACGTTCATCCCCAAATGAACAAAAAAAATTCTAATATTTAAAATGAATGCATGAAAATTTATTGATATCTCAGGTTTTGTGTTACAGTAAGCAAATATATGTACATCACACAGATTGATGTGCTACAATTAAAATAATGGGACCTGATTTATTTTTAGGGACAAAAGAAGGGAGATAAATGTGAAGGACTATATGATAGAAAACCAATCAGATTCAACTCTAGGGAGGGTACCAGGACAGGTCAATGGACAACAGTTTGTCATCCAAAACTGTAAGGTATACATGTTCATCTTAATGGTATCAGTGCTTCCAAAACAGCAACACCAGCATATTGTTATTGGTGGGGGGAAAAAGGTGTCTGTCCAAGTTAGTTATTTACATATAGATAGTAATGATAATTTTTTTTAGAATATCGTATAGAATACATACACATAAACTCTGAATTAAAATGCTCTTTATTTCATCTATGTGACTGATCTAGAAAAGGTTATTATAAGACTGAGAAGATTTTTTTTCCTTGATCAGAATTTAAGATGATAGGCTGTGTAATAATTTTAGTTTGGGACAGAGGAATACCGGTAGTTTTCTTGCCTATAGGTCAAATAAATGAAAACTTTAATTAAGGACTAAAAATCATAAACTTTTTGTCTCATTAGTTTGGGGTTTTTTGTCTTAAAAAAAATGTATTGAAGCTGTATAAGTATACATGTATTATTATTATTCAATATATTTTTTAATTTTCAGAACTGTAATATCTATGTGTTTGACTACATAGCAGCCATAAATATAGATGATTGTGTGGATTGTAATATATTTCTCGGACCTGTAAAATCTAGGTAAGTGTCATGCTGTGAAATCCAATTTTTATAATTGGTTTCTTTGTGTACTGAACAAAAAAACTTTAATAAGAAGGTTTAACCCAGAGAGCATGTATTAAAACGGAACTATTCATTTTAAACAAGTGTGGAACACATGACAAATATATTAACAGAGGCTCAGAGTCTTATCATTTACCAATATTCTGCTAAAACCATGTGGTATTAGGGTGTAATATTGAGCATTTACATGATGTAACTGTTTTTTCTCCTCTAAAAGCAACGGAAATTGATAAGGCCTAGATAAATAAATTGTGTGTTTCCGGTTCCTCGACCGACCCTAAGATATATGAGCCGACCCTAAAAAATTTATCCACAGATATCTTTCCAGGAGTAAACTATTCCAATTTCACTATTAGAAATCCTAATCTCGATCACTTCTGTGTTTCAGAAATGCATATCCTATACACATCAATCAGAATTATTTTGACAGCGATTTTCCCGGGGGAAAATGGTAGCCTGCTTACCAATAAACTATCAAAATAAAATAAAGTGTTTTCCTACCTACCTACCCTATTTTTTCTCAGGTTGGAATAGGAAACACGCTATTTATTTATCTTGGCCTAACTGATATTTGAACAAATGTTATTGGCTAAACTTTGGAAAGGCTCGAACCTTTTTTTTTATAAAAAGAATTGAAAGGTGATGTTTGTTTGCATTAGAATAAGGATAGATTTTATCACTAAATTGAAACCCTGCCTTGAACAATTTTATTGGAAACATTATTGATAAATAATTTAATTAGATTGAACAGTTGATAAATCATTATAAAAACCTTGTGTCAAATTTGAAAATGATTCCATTACTAATGCAACCTGGTGTAATGATGTCAATTGATTTTGCTTTGTTTGTTGTTTATAAGAAAAATCAATAAAAATGGGAAATATTTTGATTTATATAAATATGACCATATTTATATATGGTCTTTAAAGTAAACTTTAACGCTTTCCACATTATGTCTATTTTCAGTGTATTTATACGGGATTGTAAAAACTGTAAAGTTATTGTTGCCTGCCAGCAGTTCCGGACTCGAGACTGCAGTAAGGTGGACGTATTTCTCTGCTGTAACACACAGCCTATAATTGAGTCATCCTCCGGAATGAAGTTTGCCTGTTATCAGTACCACTATCCCGAACTCAAAAGTAAGCACCTCAAGAATGGTTGGAATAACATAGAGGCATTTTTGCATGTAATGTAACTGGAGATAGTAACATTTACATTTTGATCTATGGTTACATTCCAAAGTCATTAGTTCCAGACCTTGGTTGCACAGAGTGTCTTGTAAATTAAGTGAACAGCTTGTTTTCTAAGACATGTTTCTTGAAAATTTGATTAGATACATGTATGCAGTTATGCATTTATTTACAAGTACATGTACTTTTAAATGCATTACTGCTTATTTCTTTCATTTGATTAATGTTATGAGTTTTTATTTTTAGTAAAATTACAAACATCAAATGAATTTATTGAAAAAAAGTACATTATTATTTTGGACCATATGATGACCTGTACGCAAACCTTAGAATCATAAAATCCCATACATGTTGAAGCTTAACAATCGACAGATGCAGTAGCTAATTTGGATATTTTCAGTGCAGTTCAAAATGGCTGGTCTGAGTGTATTCAGCAATAATTGGGGAAACATCCATGATTTCTCACAGGATCCAGACGAACAGCACCATTCTCTTCTACCAGAGGTTAGAGGGATTTAGAATTACATGTACATCTCTTCTACAAAATTTAGCTCTAAGGCATTTGCCCATTGCATACTCGTATAGAAATGCATGTATATAATGTGCCTGCAATGCTTTATAATGAAAATATTGCATGCATTTTATGTTATGATTTAAAAATCCCACAGCATTGTATGTATGTACCGTGTTTGTTGATTTGAGGGTCAAAAATGTGCTTTGAATCCAAAAATTTAATATCACCTATGCATGTATTTGACATTTGTACAGAAAAAAACCTATGTCGATAATAAAAATATCAATTGAATTCCATTGCTGTAGGACTCCATTGTTGAGAATTTTGTGCCCCTACCTAGCACAGAGCAGTTTCAGTCAGTAACTGTGTCAACTTCTAGAGTGGATAGTGTCGTGCCATTAACACTGGGTCCCAGGAGGAAGACGTCAGATGAGGTAAGTCAACAGATCTTTTGATATGCACGACAGTTAATCACTTTTTATCAGCGATAACTTTATTTTTGCATAATTATGCAAGAGGGTGTGCTTAGAAAATTTCATTCTTGCGTACATTAGTATTTCTAAAGACTATATAAAGTAATAACCACAATTTGTGAAAATTTTGTCTCACTGATCAAGCGTACATGACTATCTCGCAAAAATAAGGTGTCGCAAAAATTTGGTGATCCACAGTATATAACAGCCAGTGTAGATTAAATATACTTGGAATAAAATGACAAGCATTAGAATTCTATCTACCCTAAACATAAAAAATTGCACACATTAATCAGGAGGGGGATATAAAGGTACCATGATTGCATTTTACTACTTAAGAAAAGTTTGCCTCCAACCTTGAAGAATTATGTAAAAGGTGTAACACTTACACTGGTTGCAAGAGAAATAAAAAAAGAGACAAACTTTTTTTTTAAAGAAAGGTAAATGTATCCTTAAGTAGAATGAAGTATGATATAATAATTATATATGTTATAGATCAAGAAATTTTGCCACCTTTAAAGTTGTGTTTCAACACTATTAAAGTGTACATAGTTGATTTGAAATCAGTTAAGTTGTATATAATTTTGATTTCTGAACAATTGGTACTAGTTGTGTCTTTAAATTTAAAGTCATAAATGTAATGAAGTAACAGTCCGGCCTCATTAATCCATATGCATGTGTTCCAGAGTAAATTGTCTGGGTTAATAAATCATCTGGATTATTGAAACATACTTGGTATATATTAATATAAATTGTTCCCCACAGATTTCCTCCAGAAGGTGAAATGCTCAGATTATTGGTGTCCAGATTAAGTAGGCTCCACTGTATTCAGAAATAACTTACACATGTATTAACGATAATTTGATGCAATTTTTTTTTTACAGTCATGCCTGGTTGTATTTTTTAATGACGGCAAGAACTCCAACATCACAAGAGCACGACAATTTATTGATAAATTATATGAAAGCAATGTAAGTTTATACTTAATACTTACATTTAAAAAATGTAAAATGTTGTACACTATTTGCTTAAAATGCATCATCAGTAACTTGTTCTGTACTGTTTTGTAGCCAGATATATCATTAGTACAGACACGAGATATATCCATGGAACCGAGTGATGCATTACGAGTGTTTAGAACAGAGAACTACGCTCCATTTGTTCAGAGAGGTACTTTTATTCTTTATTACATTAGTAGTGTTACTTGTTTGTACAACACTTGCATGGATAAATCACAACTCAGTGGACAAAAAGTCACAATTTCTGAAGTAAATACTATAAAATCACATACTTTCATTGGGTCAAATTTTCATTGTTTGAGGAAAAAATATCAGTTTGGGGATTTATTTTATAATTTCGTGGGTGAAATTGATGAGTAGTTATGCATATAAAATTTTTACATTTTGTTGTGGACATGAACTTGTTGGTCTCTTAATACCTTGAAAACAACAAAAAATAAGCCCACTCAAAAATTATTGATTTCATAGAAGATATTTTTCCCCCACAGTACTATTTTGTACTAGTGAATATTAAGTCCCTATAATTTTTATAGTCTGTAATTAACAGATAGTCTATCAAAATATCACTTTAAAATTGATAACTGCAGACTAAACTGATAATGGAAATCTGCAGAATTTTGTATCAACAAAAATAAGTAATGTCTATACAATATGAGGGACATTAGTCTATGTTTATTTTTTGAGACTAACACATTGTAAGGAGTTACACATAGTTTTTTCTCCAAAATATGAAGTTTCAAATCATTGATTCAGAGTTAAGTTTTCCTCTTCAGGAAAATAGAATAAACATTATTCTGTATGTAAAGATTCGGGGGAGGGGTATGCAAGATCTAAATCACATTATCGAAATGGCTTTGCCTTAATATCTGCTACTTTTTTTGTAGGATCTGTTATAGGCCTAGAATTTAATGGTGAGGGTTGTATAGAAATCATCCGTTCAGCGTTAAATGCCTTCCAGCAGGAAAATATTTGTGACTTTTTCTGTTCTGAAAGCCGTTCAGAAGCAGAGAAAGAGATTGAAGACTTTTACAATTATGCAGACATGCAAATGGCTGTATGATGACAATTACAGTAATGTTTTAGGACTTAAAGTGTTGTGAAAGTCAATTTGTACTTATTTTCGTAAGTTTCTTAAAGTACTGTTATGTACAACATTTTTATGGTAGTTCTGTTCAATAGATCTGACAAGAAATGTCTCATGTAGTTTTTGCATTGGTTAAAACTGTGATGTTTAATAATGATGTTTAATAACATTTTTAGAACAAACGGTGCATTTATCATTTCAAGCCAAGAAATACATTTTATGATTAGTATTTGTAAAGAGTTGTAGCATAATTTGTTCAACTTTGTCAGACTGTAAACATAGAAATTTATTTGTGGTACATGGTTAATTATAACAACAATGCTAGAAGAAATTGTTGTCATGTAATTTATTTGGCATTAATAACACAGTGGAAATGACCACCAGATGTATAATTTTTGCTACAATATAATTATGTACATATAATTAACATGACTGTATAAGTATCCTGTTAACTTTAGTTATTTCTGCTCAGTATTTTGTTTGCAATCAGGTCAATCTTTAAAATCCAGTACATACAAAGCTGAGAAACTTGTGATGTTCAGTTTACCTTTCCTAGACAGGATTGTACTCGATATCATTCATCATGGTTGTTAATTAAATCACTGTTTTGCTTTATGATGATGTTTAGTATTTTTTAGTAGTTTGTATTATATAATTATTTATTTTACTCTACAATGAACCCACCTGATCACGGCAGTAGTCTCCCTTTAGAATTTACAAATACAGATCATTTTATTTTTTTTCTATGCCATTAATGGCAGACAAGGAGTTTAAGTTGATAATATAATGATTTTTATATCGTCATTTCAACAAGTGTACTTGATTTAGTATACAAATCATTTTTTGCAAAAGGATACCAGATTTCTGCACATTAAGTAGTTGTTGTTAATGTACCAACTTACTCAGTACATTCCGTCCTTTTTGTTTACCTGTGCTATTGACTTAGATGAGCTTTGCCAATAAAATTTTGCAAGATACATTTCACTATGTGATGTTTTCCACATATCCGTGTTTTTTTTTTTTTTTTTTTTTTTTTTTTTTTTTTTTTTAAACTTGGCACTTATGTGTCTTCTAAACCATTTTCAAAAAAGCAAAAGCTTTTCATTGAGTCTATAAATTAACATCTGCCTCTGATTGGCTGAATCAAGTGTTCAACATCAGACTCTGATTGGCCAGGTCCAGAATTCCACATATGCCTCTGATTAGCTAATTCACCATTTGCCTGTGACTGGCCGAGTACTGAATTCCACATATGCCTCTGATTGGCTTATACAAAGTAGAAGAATTTTATGTCCAGCCACTACACTTGCTTGTGTATTTTTACTATTTCATGTGAATGTCAAGTATACAGTGCTATATTTTCTTGAACAAAATGCCTGTAGAATGATCAATATTACATGAACTTTTATTTTCACTATATGTACAATTATTTGACCACTGATCTTTATATTGACATTTTTTTCTTTTCTGAATGATTCTCTGTTATTTTCTTGATAAAGAAATGATTTTGGAATACCTGAAATGCATATTGCAACCCCTCCTTTAATATTGAGTTTATTTACCTACCTGTTAAATTAATGAAACAGAAGTTACCTGTAAATCTTGCTGTAAACTCAAATGAGCATTATGGCCTTTGGTCTATCATTTTGTTTTTATAATAAATTTTGTTTATATTCTATAGGTTAAATACTATGTTTTGGTAACTTGTGTGAACTACATCTTGTTCATTGTTTTTTATTTATTAAACATATCATAAAAACATGCTTTATGTCAATGCCTTTATTGTTCTGAACATTCCATTCTTATTAATGATGGAACTCAAATATCAGTTAACTGTATTCATGGAAGTAATAAACATACAATAACTTGTGACTTTTTAATGCTGATGTAAATTGTAAAGAATACTGTACATTTTATGATGGTGCAATGAACACACGTATAGAAAAAAGTAACATAGTTTTACATTTATATTTTCATTGAAATTGTCAGTGTCATATGTGTTATGTGAATTGATAGAAAAGTAAATGCATAAAACTTAATTGCCTTGATATTTCTCTGAATATCATCGACTTTGAAAGCTGTTAAAGGTGAAGAAAAATCTAGTCGGTATACCTTTGTCCTACCCAGCCATTATGATGTCTACTCCGAGTTGTAATATTTGCAAATCTTTAGCATTTTTCCAATGTTGACTTAATCTAACGGTGCATTTATAAAGAGACTGTAAGGAAGCTCTAAACACTGCTTATCAAAGACGTTTAGCCACTTAGAGTTATCTGTCCTTAGATGTAAAAATTTTACTGTAAAAAGCATGATTTATAATTAATCTAAGTATTGTTAGCATCATATAAGAGCAATATATTGTCTTTATACATTATCCACATGTATTTTCAGATTGTCTAAGCAACTGTGATTTTTTTTTATATTTCAATTTAAACAATTTTCTTCGGGGGGGGGGGGGGTCTGATGAAAATTAAAGTAATACTTTCCTCATTTTCGTTATCCCTATATCTCCCTTCTATGCAACCAAACAAAATTTAACACTTTGATATTACATGTAATTTGAAATTGATGCCAAAACTCATCAGATGACTTCAAAATTTTTTATCCAAAATGTAGACAACCGGAACTCGCCATCAGCCGATGCTAGGAGGCTGTTGACTCCTTACACTGTAGGCTGCAGAAGTTGTTTGTTGAGAAACATTTCGACTTGATTACAAATTCCCAGCAACTGAAAATCAGCATCACCTGATCTGAGAGTGCTGCAGCCATCTTCGAACGCCATCTGGTGTCTAGTCTCTCTTCTACCGGAAGTTGTCGGTCTTTCTGTCACGTACCTGTCTTCAACGTGTCGTGTGTGTTGTCTATCCATTTCTTCGTCTCTCCTATAGTGATGCATGACAGAATCATGCCCATTCTCAATATGACGCAGTGAAAATCCGTTTTGTAACAACTCATCCAAATGTTGTGATTGTGTATGTCTTCCAGGCCTTTTACGGAGAAACTGATTGTTCCCTGACGAGGCCTTCACAGGCTTTTGGTTTGAAACTGGAGATTTGACTGATCTTGGTGAAGGCTTGTCTCTCTTCACCATCACTGAAAAACCCTGAGGCCAAACTTGCATGGGTGACCCTTCTCTTTGTTTCATGAAGTTTCCACGAACGTTGAAATAGTCCAGTTTAACCATTTTGTCAATGACTTGGGGGAAGCTTGTCAGTTCATTATTACCGAGGTCCAGCACTCGTAATTTTTGGAGCTGTATGATTTCATGAGGAATAACTTGTATCTTATTCCCGTTCAATTTCAGCTCTTCCAATTTTGGACACGAAAACAGTCCCATTGGAATGTTGTCCAATTGATTGAAACTGGCATTCAAATACTGCAACTTTTTCATCCGTCCAACAGAAAGTGTGTAGAGTCTGTTCTCGGAGATATTCAGGTAATGCATGTGCACAAATCCTTCTGCAAAATGCTCGATTTCATTTCCTTGCAAATGCAGTACTTTCAGTTTGGCAACCGTGGCAAAATGATGAGAAACATGGCGGATTTTATTCCCAGCAAGGTTTAAATATTTGAGATCAGGAAGATTCGTTATGCTGGATGGCAACATCTGAAGCTTGTTGAAGCTCAGGTTTACCTCTTTCAGTTGTTTCAAAGAGTCAAAGTCTGGTGGCAAATTAGATAGACCATTACCTCGAAGTTGAAGAACTTTCAATGAATTTATGTGACAGACAGGAAGAGGGAGGTGCTCAAATTTGTTATCTGCGAGGTTTAAATAATGGAGCTTAGCCAAGAGTGATAGAGCGAACGGTAAATACCAAAGATGGTTGCCATGGAGGTCAAGACATCTTAAGTTCCCAAGAAGACTGATGTTATGTGGAACACTTTCAAATCGATTTTCCCCAAGCCGAAAATATTGCAATGCTTTTAATGCTCCAATGTTCTGTGGCAGAGAAGACAGTTCGTTTCTTGTAAGATTGATATCTTCCAAATGTATACAGTTTGTCAGTGTTTCTGGCAAACGATTGATTTTGTTATCATGAAGATAGAGAACTTTTAATCTTCGCATTCTTCCAATGGCACCAGGAATTTCCTGTATGGCATTGTGGGATAGCTCAAGGTGCTGAAGACCAGTGAAGTTCAGGATATCCCTTGGGAAGTCCGTCAAATGATAATGATTGAGTTTTAGCTCTAGAAGACCCTTTTGATTTTTGGCCACTGAATACCTTGTCGGCTGCTGGGGACGGGCCGAATTCCGAGGCCTTGCCAAAGGACGTCTTGTTCTGTAGACAATCTTACCGTTCTTTGTCCGATATGGGCCCGATTTTGTAGTAACCGTGTTCCATGTACCGTACTTTGAGGTACGTTTTGACATAATCTACAAATGAGTACAAATATGTCAAACTGATTGTATGTGAAACTCAACCAGATGCAGGTAATATGATGTTATCACTGTCCGAGGGAGAAGAATCGTACTCACCCGTTGTAACTTTATAAACTTGTTAGATGATAATTAAAAGGCACTTCTTTTATATCTATTAACACGTCATAGTCGATTCAGCAAGAAACGGGACAAGAATTCATTTAAACAGAAAAATCTTACCTTGAAAGAATGCAAAGATATAGAGTAGCATCAGGTAAATTTCCTTGTACCATGTAGGTGTATTGATTTCACAATTACCTATTGACCTCGACATGAATATTTAACGCCTTTCTGATTAAGTGAATCTATACTCTACTGTTAAGAGCCAATATTGATCAAGAGAAATCCGAAGACAATCAACAAATTAGTTGTTCTAAAAGGCATGATACACAAGATATCTTGCATAATTGCATAATATAATTTAATGTATGCAAACTTTTTTTCCTTATTATACTTGTGGGTATAGCCCCCCCCCCCCCCCACCTTCGATATTTTACTCCCGGGCTGGTTGGAATTTTTCTCTTACTCATAAATTCTATCTCATGAATACCAAAATACTAGTAATCGTTCCATACAAAAATACCCCACTATACATACACATAATAAGATATATATATTTGAGAGATATCCATGTCTCCCAATTGATTCGATACGCAAGCGCATGTTCTATACGTAAGAACAATTTCTAAAATGAGGCAAGCTATTGACAAATAAATTTATGATACAAGGATATCAGCAGTCTCATTATAAATCAACATTTCGCAAATTCTATGTCTGAAACAATGACCCTGTTAGCCAAAACACTCTATCGTGAAGTCGAATGTTGACTGACGTTTTTCATAATAATATTATTCTTTGGCCATTATTTTCATACTGAATTGTCTACGGATTTTTCCGTGTACCCGACATGCCAAGGAGCGCACGGCTGGTGTGACACCGGTCAACTGGGGTTGCTTACTCCTCCGTGGCCTTTGATACCATGCACCCCTGATGTTTTTAGAGGTCCGTGTATGCTCTACTCACAATTTGTATAGTTTCAGTGGACTTTTGAGCTTTTTCATAGTAGAGTATTTGTTTTGACAAGCCTTTTTGGCATTCAAGCCATTGTACTATTTATTTTGAAAATAAGATAAGTTGGCAATATAAATACAGGGGGCACTGCAGATACTAGATAGACTTGCATATATTTCTTTTTGAGTCTTACGTCATCTTGATGTTTTCCAAACCGTACATATGTACCAAACTTAATTCAAGCCAGAACAATAGTTTAGAAAAATTACATTTGGCATTTTGAGAGAATTTAAAAGAGTATTCTAAAAGAACATGTAACACCGTCCAAAAAAAAAATGATACAAAGAATTATGGCTCTTAATGAAGTCTACTTGAATACCAATTTAATTTTTTTTTCTCAAATAAGAAAAAAAAATCTCTTTTAGAGAGAAGTATTAATTTTTAAAGAATTTCACATTTTATTGATGTTTAGTAACGATGGAAATACAGTTCATTGAAAAAAAAATCATGTACCGGTATCTATTCGAATACTAGTATGCATTTGTTTT